GCTTTTTAAAAAATATTTTAAAATTTTTTTTGGGGGGGCGGGCTGGCTTACATTTTTCCGGCTATTATCATACTGGCAATGTCACATCAAAAACAATTTAAATTTTAAATATAATCTGCAATTTCAATGGGGGCAAATGCCCCCCTGCCCTACCAAAATGACGGCCCTGGTGGGCAGGCTTAGATTTCGTTAACACTCTCTTAAAATACAATTACTTACATTTTCAAGCTTCTCAATTTTTATTACCTACATAATCGATTTTCAGTCACTTAGCCTATTACGTCATCAAAATAAATAAGTTGTCTAATTTGTGTACGTGAATAGCCACTCTATGCAAACACATCATGTTGTGGGCTTTGTTTTCAAAACGCGGTTGCCCCCCCCCCCCCATGCTCCACCACCCCTTCTACACCCATGCCCCCCCTTCCTAAACCTATCCTCACCCCTCCTACATCGATGTTCCCCCCTCCTACACCGATGTTCCCCCCTCATACACCCATGCTCCCCCTCCTACACCCATGCTCCCCCTCCTACACCGATGCTCCCCCCTCATACACCCATGCTCCCCCCTCCTACATCGATGTTCCCCCCTCCTACACCGATGTTCCCCCCTCATACACCCATGCTCCCCCTCCTACACCCATGCTCCCCCTCCTACACCGATGCTCCCCCCTCATACACCCATGCTCCCCCCTCCTACATCGATGTTCCCCCCTCCTACACCGATGTTCCCCCCTCATACACCCATGCTCCCCCTCCTACACCCATGCTCCCCCTCCTACACCGATGCTCCCCCCTCATACACCCATGCTCCCCCCTCCTACATCGATGTTCCCCCCTCCTACACCGATGTTCCCCCCTCATACACCCATGCTCCCCCTCCTACACCCATGCTCCCCCTCCTACACCGATGCTCCCCCCTCATACACCCATGCTCCCCCCTCCTACATCGATGTTCCCCCCTCCTACACCGATGTTCCCCCCTCATACACCCATGCTCCCCCTCCTACACCCATGCTCCCCCTCCTACACCGATGCTCCCCCCTCATACACCCATGCTCCCCCCTCCTACATCGATGTTCCCCCCTCCTACACCGATGTTCCCCCCTCATACACCCATGCTCCCCCTCCTACACCCATGCTCCCCCTCCTACACCGATGCTCCCCCCTCATACACCCATGCTCCCCCCTCCTACATCGATGTTCCCCCCTCCTACACCGATGTTCCCCCCTCATACACCCATGCTCCCCCTCCTACACCCATGCTCCCCCTCCTACACCGATGCTCCCCCCTCATACACCCATGCTCCCCCCTCCTACATCGATGTTCCCCCCTCCTACACCGATGTTCCCCCCTCATACACCCATGCTCCCCCTCCTACACCCATGCTCCCCCTCCTACACCGATGCTCCCCCCTCATACACCCATGCTCCCCCCTCCTACATCGATGTTCCCCCCTCCTACACCGATGTTCCCCCCTCATACACCCATGCTCCCCCTCCTACACCCATGCTCCCCCTCCTACACCGATGCTCCCCCCTCATACACCCATGCTCCCCCCTCCTACATCGATGTTCCCCCCTCCTACACCGATGTTCCCCCCTCATACACCCATGCTCCCCCTCCTACACCCATGCTCCCCCTCCTACACCGATGCTCCCCCCTCATACACCCATGCTCCCCCCTCCTACATCGATGTTCCCCCCTCCTACACCGATGTTCCCCCCTCATACACCCATGCTCCCCCTCCTACACCCATGCTCCCCCTCCTACACCGATGCTCCCCCCTCATACACCCATGCTCCCCCCTCCTACATCGATGTTCCCCCCTCCTACACCGATGTTCCCCCCTCATACACCCATGCTCCCCCTCCTACACCCATGCTCCCCCTCCTACACCGATGCTCCCCCCTCATACACCCATGCTCCCCCCTCCTACATCGATGTTCCCCCCTCCTACACCGATGTTCCCCCCTCATACACCCATGCTCCCCCTCCTACACCCATGCTCCCCCTCCTACACCGATGCTCCCCCCTCATACACCCATGCTCCCCCCTCCTACATCGATGTTCCCCCCNCCCCTCCTACTTCGATGCTCCCCCCCCCTACACCCCTGTTCCCCCCTCATACACCCATGCTCCCCCCTCCTACACCCATGCTCCCCCCTCCTACGCCGATCCTCCCTCCCAACAAAAAAAAAATAGCTGTCGCGTTAACACCGATTTTAACTCTAGAGTTGTCTGGTCATATTCTTAAATGATGTCCCTTGTGAATCAACTTATATAAAAAGAATAAAGAAAGAACAATGTAATGAACTACAGTAAAATATTTCCAATAAATTTAAAACTTTCCTATTTAAGAATGTATGCCTATTAGTATGTTTAAATAGTCGAGTAAACATTTTTAAAGATTTGCAATTTAATACCCATTAAAACTATAATAAATAACACAGAAGTATCTTAAATATTGTGGAGAGTCGGACCACGCACGAGCGCCGGCGCCGGACAGATCTCTCAGCAGGGTTACCGGCCATCAGGGATTACGGCCGTCTGACCACCCAGACACGACCGAAGGATCAAACGCCTGACCATTTACGGCCGTCTGACACCCAGACACGACCGAAGGATCAAGCGCTGGGGGCGGTATCGGCCATCCATCTGACCAGGACATTTACCTGGGACGTCTAGACCATGGCGACAATTGAGAAAAGGGGGCGGGGTATAATCTGGACTGGGAGAGGAACTATGGGACGGGGAGGTATAAATAGGGATCTCTGGACGGGACGAAAGGAGAGCGCGGCCGGATGGTATAGGAGGAAGGCGGCCGGACTGAGAACTAGATAGCAGGGAGAAGTCAGAGTTGTGAGACGAGTGAAAGTGTAAGCAAGTGATAGTCAATAAAGAACACGAGTTTAATCATCAAATGTATCACCGGAGTTGTTTCCTTATTGAGCACCAGATCTAGATGAAGTTTGTCAGAGAGTAAGCAAGGTTTCCTTACAATATCAACATATTACTTGCATCAATCTTTTTTCATCGATTATGATACCCCGGTTTGGTACTATGCTTTATTACTAAAATTTAAGTGAATAATCATAACAATCATTTATAAAATAAATTTTCTAGAATGGATATTTTACCATTCGTAAAGTAACACTTTTTGGACTTTTTACACCCTTTTACGCATTTTACTCTATTTGAATTATTGATTCAAGAATAAACTAAATTTTCAATTTAAAAAAAGTTATCTAAAAAAAAAAATTTGAAAGTGGTCAATTAGTTGAAAATTTAAGACAATCTTTGATTATTTGAATGAAATTTAGGCACAGGAAAAAAAAAAAAAATTATTTAAAAACAATTATAACATTGATACATGCGTAAGATAATTCAAACAAAATATAAATAAATGTGATTATCGTGATAATATAATATGCACTTTAGAGCTTAGTATTTAAGTATCCTTTTTTTTTTTTTGCAAATTGTACTCTTTATTCCTTCATTGTTACTCTTCAAATTCAAACCTAGAATTGTCTCTGATGTAATTCTTTGTTGCCTTTCTTTCGCAATAATTTGTTGAATTTGCACTTATTAGACATATATATATATATAAATTTGTTTACATGATCTAATGATGCACTGCTTTATCCGTATTAACTTAGACTAGTACGCCTGTAGCGCAATGTCTGTTGCAGTGATTCAGAAATGATTTAAATTTTTAGCCAGTTTACTGTTCCAAGATACTTCGAGGATGTTTCATTGTTCGTTAGACACTATAGTTTAGAAAAAAAATTAAAGTAATCCTATGAAAACTGCACATACATTAAATTTGAAAAGGGAAGAAAATAGTGTAAAAATTTTAAAAGAAAGACCAACATCACTCAATCTTAAGTAAGCCGTATGCCAATGAAAAGTACCGGCCTGTTTTTTTTAATATGGTAAATATCCAGTACTATATTATGAATATTACGCGGGTTCCATACGATGTTTCGTTTAAGGACCCCTGACAGGCCGGATCCCACCCGTAAGACTTAGTTTGATGATTCCCTTGTATATTGTATTACATTATGGTGAACATCATATGTCATGCTCTCAAATTAAATAATAACGAAACAGAATTAAATTTAAGAATTTATTTAGTGGTCAGTAAAACATGTGTATTTTAAATCATTTATACTAACTACACTTTTCATTGTGGATGGCTGGCTGGGTGGTTAACTTGCAAATAATTTGACGACTAATTGACCAATTTACCGTCAATCTATCGAGCTGCATCTTGGTATAAAGACATTTTGCAAGGTCAAAACGGTTACACAGTGCTATCCTAAGGCAGAAATTAATCTCCTATTTACATGTACGGCTCATTCCAAAACAGTGCATAACAAGACGATACCAAATGATAAAAACAATAAACAGTGCTAACTGCAATTAATAAGTTTTATTAAGTTACTGTGGATTACCAAATACAAGAAATATAATTAAAATAATTAACTGATAGAGGTGGGTGTCTCTTGTACCGGTACACAGTTAATACAATTTGCCAAAAAGGTACAATGATGAATATGAATTCAATGAATTCACACATGTAAGTAAGCACAACTCGTATTCGAGTCAAGAGAACGGGTGATATATTGGTTTGTGGTAAACATGATCGAAGGAACTAAGCCACGTCCAATATTAACGCAGCTTCTGCGAGAGTTCAAAGCACGGGGGCAATATTATGAAATCACGTCGTCTACATAACAACACATTCTAATTTTTTTAGCCATTTAAAACAATTGATATGATGATCTATCCCTCCCTCTCTGTCTACCTCCCCCCCCCCTCTTTCTCTCTCTTTCTCTCTCCTTCTTTCAGCTTCTCTCACCTTTTCTCTCTCTTCCAGTCTCTTTATTTCACTTTCTCTATGTGTTTTCTCTCTCTCTCTCTCTCTCTCTCTCTCTCTCTCTCTCTTTATCTCTCTCTATCTCCTTCTAAGTTTCAATCTATTATCTATACCTCTGCAAATTAAATTAGTAAAAAAAATATTAAAGAATTCTTAATTGAAAGTTAAATATGAATATAAGATAGTAATAATGCATTCATTAATGCAAAAATATAATTTTCACTTCACAATTAATTATTTAAACGATGCATCAAATATGATTGAAAAATAATGTGATTATGATTATTATAAAATGAATAAAAAATTTAAGAACACTTTCTAAACTTAATAAATCTGTGTTGAATCTGTCTTAAAATGAAAAAGAGTAGTTTTGAGCTATATTATTTCAGCTCTGTAACCTCGTCATATGGATGGTCTTCTTTTTCAGCTGTGGATTGAGGCGATATCATCGGATAATGCTATTGGAAAAGTTCAAATATCGAAAACAAACAATATTCTTAGTCATTATTTTTTTTTTTTTTTAGATTTATGTTTTAGTTTGGTATCAATAATTCCAATACATCGTAAACACACTCAGTGTAAGCTTTATAATTATATCATCGGATAATGCTATTGGAAAAGTTCAAATATCGAAAACAAACAATATTCTTAGTCATTATTTTTTTTTTTTTTTAGATTTATCTTTCAGTTTGGTATCAATAATTCCAATACATCGTAAACACACTCAGTGTAAGCTTTATAATTATTCGCTTATCAATTGTCTTTTTGAGCTGATCGTCATATTTAAATATCATAAAGTTATTTTTTTACTCCTTAAAACAAAGAAAATGTCTGCAAATGATAGTTAAGAAGATTTTCTATCAAATCGGTTTTTCTTTAAGTTAAATGAACATTTGTTTAATTTGGCAAGATATTTAATTTGAGAATAAACATTATTTGAAGTTTTAACAAATGAGCAAGAAAAAAATAAAAACACCAAAATTTGATTAGAAATTTCATAATACAATTTTTTTACAAATAAAACTATCGTGTGCATCCTTTAACAAAAATGTATTCGTATTTGTTGAAATAGTGTTTAAATACGTCAGAGAAGGTGAAGGAAGAATGATTATTTTTTTTAAAGACCATATTTAACTGTGCATTACCTTTTTTAAAACTAATTTCAAACTTCTTGTCACGATGCTGTGAAGTACCTGGGAGTTCTTCATTTGAATAACTGGGATTTCTGGTGTTTGCTGTTTCATATGCGTGCATCTCAGTGTTGACATACGGGGTTGTGGCTGTAAAATTAGTAATGATCTAGTTAAATTAATGAATTGCTTAATGTATGTATCTATGCATTCGACTGTATATAGACATATATATATGTTTATGAACACTTATACATATATATATACATATGTGTGTGTGTTTTTTGTGTGATTATTTCTTTATTTTATTTTTTGTAACAAATAATAAAAACATATACCTCGAATGTTATTGTAATCTTGTCTTTTACTGAAATGAAAAATGATGTATGATTTTTAATTACTTAAAGTAAGAAGAACATAACATGTGTGTGTAATGTGCACTTTTTAAAAAGTCGTATGTTTATTTTTTAAAATGTTTTTCAAGTATAAATATTCGTTTTTTATTCCCAGACTTTCTCATTTACAATTTACATTCAACTAAAATTCATATTATTTTACTTTTACCCTTATTGCATGTTAATGTATTTATACTTTATTACATAATTTTAATGATTTTCGCATCAATAACATTTACCATATAAAACTATTGAATTTTGCAATTTTTATTAAAATTCATGGAAACTATGTCTTTATCGAAATATATTGAAAATTTAATAGTTGCTTGCATGAAAAAAACAACGATTTAATCTTTATTATTTAGAAAGGTTGAAACAAATATACATATAGATGAATACTTACTTTGTTTTTAATTGTGTTTGTTGATTGCCATTAGTTCCTGTAACGAGTGCCCACGTAATATATATTTTAAAAAATCAACATTTCAAATGTTTATAAAAATATTTTCTTAATCCATTTGAAAATAGTTATGCTTGAAGAATAAAAACTATGGAGATAATAAAGAGCAATCCCCCTCCCCCACCATTAACCTCAAAAAAGCTTAAGGATTGCTCGTGAAAATGAAAATATGATTACCAGAACGCACATATTTAATATTAAAATTTAAATACAAAGATAAGTGCTAACAGACTTGAGTTATGTTTACTTACTTTTAATTCGTCTTATTATAAAAATCATTATAATTATCAGTACGACGATAACAATTGCCATGGAAACACCAACTCCAATCGCGGCTTTATTGACTTGATCTAAACCTGAGTCCCCTAAAAAGTCTGTCACATTTAAAGTTCAAATAAACATTTTATACAGTGCATTAAAGGAGAAGAAAGTATTAAAGCTTGCATTAAAGTGTAATTTATAAAGAACCGCTGTAATCATTGCCTTGTTTATTTAGGGTTGATGATAAAACAATTTGATGTGTACGACTATTACTAATAATTGATGTCAGTTATGTCCTCTGAGGTCTTAAAATTAAAATATTTAATATTATATGGGTTTGTTAAGCAATATAATCTTTTCTTGAACTATCAAATACACCAAATACTATGTATCATTGTGCAATACTTCATAAAGACTTACATAAGGTTAGTGTCTCAGTAGTTTTGTTATGTACACATTTCGACTCGTGCCAAACAACACATGTGCAATTTACGTCAGTCGGCGTGCGTGTCATATTAACGTATAAAATAACGTTTTCACTATCTGTAAAAATAATGTCATAAGTTTTTGGAGATATTGTGATCAAGTCATGTTTTATAAATATTAGAGCATTGCTACCAAAACTTTATCACTGTCTAAGTGTATCTCCTTAATAATTATCTTCTTTGACTTTTATACATTAACACAATATATTCAAATCACTTAACTATTTTTGAATAACGCATTCTACATAACTGTTTATTTAATCAAGATACTTAACTAATTTTTAAAAAATGACTTAAAAGTGATAAAGTTGGAAGTCATTGAACATGACAGAAACAATAATGGAATCTATCATTTGAAATGATCAATGATACACATATGTAAAAATAAAGCGAGAAACATGCAAATATCTGAGGGAAACTAAGTATCTTATTGTAAATGTGCATCATACAGATGTATAACACTGACGTAATTATCTTTTCATCACAACACTTTATTTTCATACATAAAAGTTAGTTTTTAAATAAAATTAATTATTCTTTTTTTTTTTTTCATTTTTTGCTTAATAAATAAACTATATCTTCATCAGTTGTTAGTCATCAGTGGTTAAAAACTATTTTTAAATTAAATTTTCCTAATCCCTTGTATGTGTATACAGATTATAATTAAATAATCTTACTTGTTGCCTGTGCTTCAACACTACCACAGGTGAGAGATACTTTTTTGGAGTACGGGTAGCCACCTCTAGATTGACACATGATTATTGCTTGTCGCGTACTTTCAGAAGAGAAAACTTCGTCTTTAACAAGTTTGAAAATGGTTGGCACTTCGGGTGGTCCTGAAAATATTTTAAAGAAATTCAGATTTTAATATTATGCACATATAATATATATATACAAGTCAAAAGTTGCTAACTATAATTCTATTTGTATTAAAACGTGTAGGAAACTTTAAATGTTTTATAGATTACCTTTAATAAATAGAGATGTGTTGATGTGCACCGTGAACGCCTGGTTGTTAGCACAGCAAGTGACGTTGACGATGCCAGAAGACGTCACAGTACTGTTAAATGTGTATAAATTTGAGTTGGTTTGTGGGTTACCAACAAGTAGCACATTGTTAATGTAGACTTGAACTGAAGGTTGTGGAAAACTTGGAGTGAGAAAACAATTTCCTAAAATATTGACCTCCTTCGCATCACAGATATCTAAGTTTGGGTTGAGTAAGGACACATTTAACGTTGGTGGATCTGGAAAAAATTAGATTCAAACAAATGAGGGATGCATTTAATGATTGTATGTGCAAAAAATCATCATTGTATATAATAAGGAAATGCAAATCACATTCTTTTTAGTATAGAATACAAGGTTGGCTTACATGCAACTGGTGCTTGGTATGTTATGGTATCAGTCCAATTCAGACTGTTTATGATTGTGCATTGAAACATCTGAAAAACTAAATGCATACAATTATTTATTTATTTTTTTTTTAAATATCAAATGGACGTTTTATTTTATTTGGAAATAAATCTTACTTTTGTAATTGTTCGTTTAAAATATATGTTAATTTACTTTTCATTGCTCCCCCCGAACCTATTTTTTGTGGGGGGGGGGGATGGTGGTGTTAAATTAAATGTTTTAAAAGTTGTAATTCTAAAATAATGATTCGTTTCATTTTTTTACTTTGATTCCACTTACATCAACATGATTTAATTAGTATACAACATTCATAAATGATTAAATGAGGTCTTTACAGAGAAACACACACTATTCATAATTTTCGATAGAGCAAACAAAGCGGAAAACTTGAATTTATCAAATAATAACACTAACTGTATTCGAAAATCAAGCTGTAAAACGTTTATTTTTAACTATACAAAAATTATGAAAATAAAGTATGAAATTATTAAATACTTTGAAAAAAAAAGAAATGATAATTTTATAATGTTATCTACCGTTTGAAGAAGGTCTTCGTGCAGTAAATATCAGGGTACGATTACTTGTCCCGTCTACATTCCACCTCACTTGAGTGGGTAAGAAACTTGGGTTGTCATCATAACATGTGCATGTTCTTGTCTCATTCTCTTTGATGTAGTCGATGAAGTTACAGTTAGGCGCCAAGACAGCTTTGGGATAAACTAAAGGGAAAACATGTTTAGCATTATTTGATTTAATAGATACAACATACATGTTTCAATATCAAGGTGATGGCTTCAGTATTACAGACGTGGCTATGTGTCTTTTTATTAAACAGACATAAGAAATAAAAATATTATAAAACCACCTTTATTAATTACTCGGTCAAGATCAGTTACCGGGCGACCAGTGCAAAAATACGTGGTCCCAAAATATTGATTGAAAACCTGTGACTCCATTCCTCTTTTTGTTTTTTTCACCATAAAAGGGGCTCTTTGAAAGAAAAAGGCTTAAAATAAACTGCTTCAAAGTTTTATGACACTGTCTTAGTGATCTGCATTTCTTTCTTAGCGAATTTCTTGGGTAAGGTATGATCGAATATCTTGTACATACCCCTCTATACTTCTCCAATGTCCCATGTTCAGCAAATAAGGAACGGCTTCACGATTTTTACACACCTTAAGGTTATCACTAAAAAATTCAGTTTTTTTTTTATTTTAAGATAATCCACACAAAAAAAAAAAAATAAATAAATAAAAAAAATAAAATAGCCAATACTTGGACTTTGAATAGATCGCACGAAGTATAGTATGAGGGTAGAAGTTGATGACGGTGAGGTACTTTCTTCCAGATTAGAGTGGAGGTTTCATTGTCATTAACGTCTAAATTAATTAAAACCTTGGGCAATCGGGTCATTTCGTGATCGGCGCTTTTCTGGCAACAAAACCAATGCAATCCTCACATCCCACCAATTAGTGACATTGAGTGGCAGTGTTTTCACAAACATTCCGTGAGAAAATCTTCATAGCAATACTCAACTGATCGATAAACTGAAGAAAATCAAGTGTCTTAAAATGTGTGATCTAGTTCTAAATCTAATCTACCACAATGAAGGGTATAATGTTTGTTTTTATTTAAACACTTTGAATTATTGAATTCAATTTGTAATTTACCAATGTTGATAGGCACTGTAAGTTGACTTGATCTCTTCATGTCTTCTGTTATATTTGAGGGGATATTTGGATACATGACAACATGGAATACGTGAGATCCAGGACCTAGGACGCGAACAGATTCAGTGTAGCTACATTCTGTTCTGTTGTATCCAGTGGAGTTTAATGCATCACTTTTATAATTTATTGATCCAGAATTTAACAAGACTGTGGCTGATTGCTGGTAAATAAAGAATGATTAGAAAAATATTAAATGAATCGCAAAAATGGCAATTTCTATAAAATAAAAAGAAAAAAAGAAAAGAAAACAGAGCTTTAAATAATGTGTTCGTTTTTTAAATCAGCAGTGCATTATGTATTTTTGCTGTCAAAAAAAAGACTTAAATAGTCCTTTGTTTAACTTTTGCTGCTTTTTTAAATCGCATATTTTTAAATGTAAATTACATTAATATTATAGAAACCTTAGCCTCCAAATATTAGTTGGATTATTGCATATTATATACACATTTAAAGCTAATATTAATATACATTATTCTTATATATGTAAGATTGATATCATTACCTTTAAATAAATTTACCCGTTTCAACGTAGACCTGTTGGCTTAAAACCGTGTATTAAAAAGTAATATATGGAGGATAAGGTGATAACAAAACTTACATTAGTTTTCAAGTAAAATTTGCAGATGGCAGCTGGAAAAACCTTTTCTGTGACGCAATTGATTTGAATTATTGTACCATTTATTAGTATGGCGTTATCACAAACTGGATTTTCTGGGGGTGCTAGAACACATTAATAAAAAAATAGAGATTACTCGTCGCAAAAATCTTAGTCAGTCTTGTAGCTATATAAGGAAACTTCACCAATATCTTAATATTTTTAACACTCCCACATGTTTATAGGGTATGAAGAAATAAAGAAGTCAAAAACTTCCATACGAATCTGGACACTCTTTTTTTTATAAGACCTCATTAGGTCAAAACATGTTAAACATTTAGCCTCTACACCAATTTTAGGTGTCAAAGCGGTGACAATCCGTTTAAGGGAACAGAACCAGTCGAGGCCGTCACCTCGTCACCGCCGCTTCAACGCCCCTGTTTTCCCACTGTCCTTTCACCGCCGTCATGTCGCCGTCAAAGTTTCGCAAAATAAACCATTTTGCCGACTTAGATCTATACATATTTTAAAAACGAAAGTCACAATGAAGTGATAGAAATGATTATGGTGGTACTAATTCAAGACGGTATGATGTAGAGTTTCAATTTTCAGAACTTATCCTTTTCCGAAACTTTGGTTATCAAACTTCCCGATGTCTTTTATTTTTATTACTGTCGTACGCAATGCGCATGGCATGCAGCCATGGGCGCCCGTAGGTAGGGGAAAGGTGGGGCACTTGCCCCCCCCTTGATTGATTGGATAAACAATATTTAGACAAAAAAAGACAAAAAAATTATTAAAGTAAAGAGAAAATATAGAGAACGTAACTAAGCTGATGTCCTGTCCGTTCGTTCACCATACAAATACGCTACAGTAAAATAAAACTACATTAAAACATTACTAAAAAACTTCCCCCCCCCCACCTTTCAATTAGCTAAAAAAACCGCCCCCCCCCCCCTAGAAAGTTTTCTGCGGGCGCCCATGCATGCAGCATTGGTTTAAAAGAAACACAGGAATAATTCAAACCCCTGTCGCACAGTTACTTGCGTACTTGAATAGTGAAACAAAACTAAGTGTGAATAATTACAATTATATGTATTTTTAATGATAATCGAAGTTCAAAAATCACATTGAATTTTAATTGACATTTGTGTGGCTGGCTTGTGTCCAGCTGCATTTGTTAGGGGGTGGTGGTAAACTTAAAAGTGCAACATAATAATTGACATTTTAAAAAAATGTACACGTTTGTTCCAAAAACGTCCGTTGGAGCTTGTTAAGAGAAAAAAAAAAAAAAAACATTAACAAATCAAATGAACTTTTTCCAAACTCTAGAGATTTTCTTGAAAATTCGAAATACTGAAATTACCCGTGTCTTTATTTTGGAGTTTAGAATTAAAATAATTGCGTATCATCGTAAATGGTTGAATGCCGAAGTGTCCAGAATAGAAAGTGTGGAATTAAATCGTCAAAGTACCTAAGGTTAAAGCCATGTAGCATTCGTTAAACTGCTGTTGGCAAAGTTTTAGCCAAAATGTACATTGAAATAGCTGCATTTTTTTTTTGTTGTAATTTTTTTTTTCACTGTACGAAATCATTTCTACAAGTCTACACATTTTAAATCAGAAAAATCAGTTGCTCTACTTTGAACTTCAACGAATTTTACAATTATATATACCAAATTAGAACGTTTTTAAGTCCACTTTATTTGCGTCATTTTATCCTTGTTTTTTTCACATGTTTTTTTACTATCATTGAGATTGTTTCATATAAAATGTAATTCTTTTTTGTTTTCTTTCTTCAAATTATTTTTTGTTTTTCTTTTTTTTTTAATTGGAAATTGTATATTGTAATAGAAATTAAGTTTTGTTTAAAAATATGCTTTACTTATTAAAGAAATATAATCCCTGAAGATGTTATAACAATTAGACAGACCTAGGCTTATGAATGATGTCGTAAAAGGTCTACAGCAGCTGAAAGTCCAAGCATAGAAAAGAAAGACATTAGTTAGGTCTGAGTGGAAGGAAGTGGTGATGCAGGCCAAAGCCCTACATGGGCTGTAGCGCCACAGGGATGGGATGGATGATAGTTTCTTAATTATTTATAACTTTCATAGCGTTTTTGCTTATTTTTAAAAAAAATATTTATTCAGACATTAATTTTGCTCACCGTAAACTTTGAGGTCATATCGTGTTTCCTCTGCAACTTTATCTGTAAACGTAACATAATTACCCCACGTTGTGTTATGTAGCTCAAGTGTTACATTTTGAATGGTAAACATACTTTTTATTGTCCCGCTTTCCAGTGTAATGTTTGTCTTGAAACCATTTAAACCGTCATCACATCTGGGCTGTGCATAGACAGTGCAGAAACTATAGGTAGAAGATAAACTATTACGAAATCTCCCCCAAACAATAGTTTCTACGTTTTCTGATACTGTAAGTAAAACAAATGTGTAAGAAGAGTTTTGTCCGGCCCATTGTGCCATTGATAAACCTGGAAAAAATAAATGCATTGATATTAATTAAACAGTAAATGATTGTAGATGGAGCATAAATATCATTTAATTAAGTAGTTTAATATATAAAAAGTTAATAATTAAATCTGTACATCACCATGACAAATAAATACCAATTAAGGCGTACATCCAAATCGTTCTCAAGCAATGTTTCATTGTTTCTTTATTATCTGAAGTAATTAAGGATATGCAATTGTAAGGGACGTTTTTTTCAAAATTGTAAATTTTAAATGAATGTAACATTCTAATGAGTTATAGACATTTATTAATCATTTATAATATAAATGGAAACAAAGTTTCAATAAAAGAATCATATCTGATATTTAAGATTTTTTAATGTTAAGTTTGTACTTTACTGAAAAAAAAGATCATTTCAATTACATTTGATATAAAGTAATACTTTAAAAAAAATAAAAAAAACTACTTAAATTTATAATATGTTTATGAAAAAAGGTATTTATTAGAAAATATAATAAATGAAAAAATGGCTCTGTTATGTCTTAAATATTTTTTTCAAAATGTGAACAGAGATAAAAAACAATTTAGAAAAAAAAAACAGACATGTATATCCAACCAAGTAACACAAATAAAAACAGTTAAGAAAGTAATATTTCTTTATACGATCCTTATACATTTTCAAGATTCAATAAAAGGAAAAAAAAGTTTTAAAGTAGTGCTGCGGGTGCATTTTGGAAATGTCTAGTTATTTTATATGATTATCTAAAGAAAAATATTACTGTAAACTATAATTATCTTTAACATAATCAAGTTATAAAACCAGAACTGTAAATATCTTCTTTTTTAACTTTTTGAAGAAAAAAAAAGAAAAAAAAAGAAAAGAAGTTTTATTTTGAGATGAATAATATGTTACGAAAAAAGAATAACTGCAAATCATAGGCAGTTTATAACTTACACATGATTTTACCACATTTAATTTATTGGTAAATCTGAAATGACCATTAAAACACACTTACAATAACATCAGACATTAGGGTGTAATTGTTATATAAAAAAAAAGTTAATTCGACCACATAAAACACTTGTTTACAACTGACTGGATCACTATAAGAATAATTACTTGTACAGTATCTATATTCATATGGTTTTGATTTTAGCGTAAAAATAAAAACTTATTCTTTTTTTTTTCTAAACATTACAACGTATATATTTCAACAAATGATTTATTTTTTCGATTTTTTTCCGAAACTGATTCGAATTACTTTAGTCCTATGCATATTTTTTTTTTTTTTTTAAAGAGAATAATAAACCAAAATTTTTTTTATTTTTTAAAAAAAAAAAATTAAACTTAAACCTATGTTTGGGATATTTTTTTTTTTTAANAATGAGTTGGCAAGTGAATGAGTGGGAAAGTGAATGAGTTGGCAAGTGAATGAGTGGGAAAGTGAATGAGTTGGCAAGTGAATGAGTGGGAAAGTGAATGAGTTGGCAAGTGAATGAGTGGGAAAGTGAATGAGTTGGCAAGTGAATGAGTGGGAAAGTGAATGAGTTGGCAAGTGAATGAGTGGGAAAGTGAATGAGTTGGCAAGTGAATGAGTGGGAAAGTGAATGAGTTGGCAAGTGAATGAGTGGGAAAGTGAATGAGTTGGCAAGTGAATGAGTGGGAAAGTGAATGAGTTGGCAAGTGAATGAGTGGGAAAGTGAATGAGTTGGCAAGTGAATGAGTGGTCAAGTGTTTGAGCGGGCAAGTGATTGAGTGGACAATAGAACGAATTGTCAAGGGAATGAGTGAGCAAGTGAATGAAAGGACAATAGAATGAGTGGTCAAGTGAATGAGGGGGCAAGTAAATGAGTGGTCAAGTGAATGAGTGGTCAAGTGATGAGTGGACAATAGAATGAGTGGACAATAGAAAGAATTATCAAGGGAATGAGTGAGCAATTGAATGAGTGGACAATAGAATGAGTGGTCAAGTGAATGTGTGGACAAGTGAATGAGTGGACAATAGAATGAGTGGTCAAGTGAATGAGTGGTCAAGTGAATGAGAGGACAATAGAATGAGTGGACAATAGAATAAGTGGTCACGTGAAAAAGTGGAAAAGTTAATTTGGGGACAAGAGAACGAGTGGACAAGTGAATAAGTGGACAAGTGAATGAGTGCATCAGATAATAAATGTACAAGTGAATAATTGGGCACGTGAATGATTGGACGAGTTATAAATTGGGCGAGTGAATGAAAAGCAAAGTGAGAGATTGGAAAAGAACATGAGTGAACAAGTGAAAGAGCAGACAAGTGAGTGAGTAAACAAGTGATTGATTTGGCATGTGAATTAGTTGGCAAGTGAATGTTTCGATAAATGATTGAGTGGACAAGTGAATGATTGGACAAAGAAATTAGTGAATTTGTTAATGAGTGGACAAGTGAGTGTGTGGACAAGTGAGTGAGTTGACAAGGAATGAATGGACAGGTGTGGAGACAACAGTTTTAGTTGACATGTGAGTTAGTGGACACTAGAATGAATGGGCAAGGAAGAGAGGGGATAAAAGGGAGAATGAACAAGTGAATGAGCGGACACGTTTCTTAAAGGTATATCAAGTGATAATATATTTTAAAAGCTGCCTTTATTTTTTATTTATAATTAAAATAATAATGTGTAAAATTATAATAAAAACGGTTTGCTGACTATTAGAAATTTTTTAAAAGTTAAGTGAATTTAATCATTAAAACATTTAAAAATACAAAGTATTACTGACCTGATACTTAAACAGATGTCTTTCAGTACACATTTATATTCATATACATTGTCGAGACTACTTTTATGCAATGAATAACATAATAGGCATGTGCCAAGCTAAGTAAGCTACGAGGTTTGCATACACAAGAAGTAGGTCATGCTATGAAGCGATGTTTTAGAATGTTTGTGTAACTGTTGGTTCTTAATTTATTACACTGTAACTCGAAGGTAATACGGTTGTCTATCGAATGGAAATAAAATATATTTCAATATAATAAAAAAAAATGCACGCGCTGAAATAGAATATAATGGTATATGAAAGAAAGTATTGTAATTTATTGAATTAAAAAAAAAAATTAGTGGATGTTATATACACACGTAAAAAAAAAAATGCAATGACTACATTTTGTAGCTAAATTATTATTAGATTTAATAACGGGACTATATGCACAGATAAGCTAATACATACTTTTTTAAAAAGGTAAAGTAATGATCAGCTTATGTTCAATTGGGATAGGAGATAATTAAGAAAATGCTCATATAATGCACCGTGCAAAATTTGACATCATATTCACAAGTCAGATGAATGGAGTTTAAATTTCAAGTACGAGATATTGTTTAATGCGCGAGTTTTTTAGTATTCAATCATTTGAATTCTCTAAGTCATTATTTCCTCTCTTTCTCTCAATCTCTTCACCTTTCTGACATTCTTTGTCTCCCCATCTCTCACAATATGTCCCTTTCTCCCTATCTCAACCTCTATCTATGCATCCATTCTCTCTCTTTCTCTAACTCACTTTCTATCTTACTCTACTTCTTTTTAAACCTATACATCTTTTTATCTACGATACCTCTATGTCTCTATATATGTCTCCCCCACTATCCCTCTCCTCTTTCTCTCTCTCTCTCTCTCTCTCTCTCTCTGTATATATATATATATATATATATATATATATATATATATATATATATATATATATATAT